CGGGGAAGCACCCTCGCCGAAAGTAGACCACATCACGTCGTAATGATACGCCGTGCAGGTGCATCGACAATATGTTCGTCCGCGACAATCCGAGGAATGTTCCGCGGAGTGACAAAATTTGCATTTGACGACGCTCGAATCGGTGACGAGTAGTTCGGAGCATCGACTGAAGCAGCAGTGTCGCCACGTGTCGTCGCGCACGTCGTCGCACAAACGTCGACGCAGCTGTCGTTGACACAACTGTAGAGAGAACTCGGGGCGAGTAAACGAAACGTCGATGTCGCCGTCGCCGAGAACCGCAATCGCCAGCTGGATCGAAGCGACGGTACACGTTGACGATCCTCCGCGAGGAGGCGCCGATCGATTCCGCCATCGTGGTCCCGCGCCTTGCGAATAAGTTCGACGAATCTTCGAGCGTCGTCGTCGTCGTCCGAATCGCTCGTTCCCACGACGCGTAAAAAACGCTCGAATTCTTGATCGACAACAGTCTCGCGGCGATCTTTGGCTCAAGGCGGTACAGGATACGTCAGATACGCCTCGGTCATGTGCGGACTAACGCTGTGGAAGCTCAATACGCGTCGTACCAGTTCCAATCTTCCTTCCTCCACACCCACTTCCTCGTTCGGATGAGCAACCTCGGCCGGCAGTATCCATCGAGGATACCACAGGCCCGATACGGACAACGGACCGCGCGGTGCCATGACTCGAGAGAACTCGTCACCGCCGCAAGTTTCGGAACTAGACTGCGCACTCGCGACATCGCTCCGCGCTCTTGTACCCTTCGTTATCTATATATGTTCGTCGGTTATCACTCGATGACAAACACAGCGCGGGATATTTCGAGGAGCGTCGCTCGATGCCGCCGGAAGAACCACAGGGACGAGGCGTCGCAACCCGAGTTGTCGTTGTCTTCGAACAGCGCGGCGGCTGCTTCGTGAACGGCGAACTCCTCGTTGTTGACTACAGCGTCAGCCGCTGCACCGTCGAACGACGCGTTGATCGCGCGATGTTCGTCACGGCCCTCGGCCGGATCGATCACCGCCACGGAGTATCTTTCGCAAAATATCGGTATTATGGCGGCTAACCAGAACACGATGTCTTCCAGATGCGCCTTCACCGTGACGTAGTCGTCCTCGGTGCCGTTGTCGTCGGATCGGACCCGACGACGTCGACGTCGAGCGTCGACCGTGAACACGTAGGTCAACACGAACAACAGTTCTCTCGTGACCTCGTATTCTGCTTTGGCGCCGGTCGCTGCAACGCCGCGTCGTGTTCGGCAGGTCGTCGAAATCGACGATCTTTGCAACTTAACGTCCAAACTGGGCCACGGCGTGCGTCGAAGCTCGTGATCCTCGTTGCAGTATTCCTCGACGGCGGGCGACGAATACAGTATTTTCAATTTTACTTACTGGTACGGTGTGGGCGGGGGTGAACCGAACTGCAGAGTCTTCCACAGGGAGCAAAGTTGAACCGAGTGAGACAACATGTCGTACACCAGTTTCCGATCTACGCACTCGAGGCAACAATATCGACATCGAGCTCGTCGTCGCGTCGCAATGACCGCGTTCAACGCGGCATTCTGCTCGTCCTCGTCGTCGTAGCGATCTTCGTCGTAGCGATCTTCGTCGTCGTGACGACATCGTCGCGGTTGCGGCAACGGGTGCATGTTTCCTCGCGCGATGTCGACGCTCGCGGTACCTCGAGACAGCGCACGATCGTTATCCACTGTTACCGATGACCAACGAGTGGCAATTGATTACCCCGACAATTATCGCTCGTGTCTGAATCTTGACAGTGTCACGTACAGCGCCTTGTCGTTCATGCCGTGCGCATCGATGTAGCATCTCGTAAAGGTCAGTTCGTCCAGAGTTAAACCCTGGACCTGATAAACCGTCGTGGTTGCGTCCATCACGAAGGGGAACATACGAAAGGCGTTGTCGAAACGATCGCCGTCTCGACGCGCCCATTTGCTGCTGTACTCGTAGGGTTTCACGAGCGTGCGACGCAACGCACCGTCTTACGTCTCGATCACGACGGAATCGTCGGATTCAATCTCGCACACGATCACGCGTGATCCCATCTGCATGGGCCAATTCGCGCGAGCGTGAATAACGCAATAGCGCATACCGCTGCGACCGCTCCTAGCAACTAGGAAGCGGGCAATGTCGCGACGATTTGTCCGTCGCCCTCCGCCTATGCACAAAAATTTTCACGAACCAATGTTAGGCGCCAGCCACGAGTATCGTGCCCACCAAAACTAACTAGGCGGCGGCGAGTAGACGCGATCGTCTATGAACTCGACAGCTCCTGCACTTTTAAGTCGGAGTTGGGCGTGGGTCTCTTGTGGGGATTAGGAGGGGAACCCGGCGGGTAATTAAATTAGTGACACGCCGATGTGGAACAAATAGTAATTCGAGTGTATTTTCGTTATTGTAATCGGTAATACAAATCTTTTGACTCCTGACGGAGAAGCGACAGCGATCTCGATAGGTCCGCGCGACCCGCGACCCGCGATTCCGATATCGATAAGCCCCCGCTCGTTGAGAGAGAGAGAAACGCTCTGCTCCCCGCGTTCCGCGGAAAGAACGACAGACGGCTTCGGTGACCGCTCTACAATCCAAACATTTCGCACCAAGTCCGACAGCCGCTGACTAGTCCCCCCGCGCAAACGGTTCGCACGAACAAACAGAGTCGTACAGAGTGACACTCTTACAATTTTCGCCCGCTGGCGGCAGCCTCCTTCCTGACAGTCGCTCCTCCGCTCGCTCCTCTCCTCGCTTTCGGCGCTTTCTCGATAGCTCTCTCCCCCTCTCTCTCTGCCTGCCTCGCTCGCTCTCGCGACCTCTCTCCAGGATCCGCACTCGCACGATGCACTGCACGCCCGTGCACCCACGACACCAAACCAAAATACGGTAGCTTCCCAGAAGCTCGCGAGGTCGACAACAATTTTGAGTTCGCTCTCTGTTCGCGTCTTCGCCAGAAGTGCTCCTCGTTCGCCCTGGCCGAAGATACGTGGCCCCGGTGGATCTTTCTCCGCTCCAATTTTTTTTCTCCTTGATCACGCGATGGCGAGATGTTGCTCAGAATCCTTCTTTCTTTTTCCGAGCATCTTCTGCGTGATCGAAGATCCTCGCTATCAGAGTCGTGCCCCGGTTTGTTTTGTAGGCTACGACAATACACAAAAATACAGCGACAGCGGTACGACATCAACTGTATAATTGTTCGGAAACAAAGTAAGAAGCGGCCAATGACATTACCTGCGATCTCTCAGTGCTCGCGGCGGCTCCTCGAAGCCTTCCTCCTTTCCCCTCGGTCTCCCTTCTCTGGTCCGCCGCTCCTACTGGTCGGAGGCTACCCGCAGCGAAGGGACACACACGTCTTGGGGCGCGGGATTATCACCAAAAAACAACAATCTCGCACTCGTCGGTACGAGATTGCTCGCCACCAAAATATATCCGCGATCTCTCCTCGAAATTACGCAGCTCGCCTCGCGATTGCGGCCGAGCGCTACAGCCGGGGGACCCCATCGGAGGCCCTCTGCCTCTTGTGACGGGCGACCTCGAAATCGCCATGTCACAACTCCCCCCCCTTTGGGGAAGGACCGAGAAGGTCGCGGCTCGGAGGGCTACTGAGTACCCCTCTACACCACCCCTCCCTCTCTCTCTCCCTACGGGATTACCGATTGACCCGGTGGTGTCTTCCTTATTTCGGAAATTCTTCCATTCCCGAGGGAAGCAAGGGGAGAGAACAAGGGAGCGGCAGGAATGAGTAGCCCGAACTCCTTTGGCTAATCCGAATTTCTTTTTATTAGGGCGCGGCGGTTTTCACTAGGAACGACAGCTAGTTTTCCTGCGGAAGACTCGTCGACAACCCGAAAACAAATACAAATGAAAGCTCCCAACGAGAGCAAGAGAGGAAAGAAAAAAATATATACTCGGCCCAACGAAGAACGCCGAGAGCAACCGAAAAAAAAAGAAAAAACGCAAATATAATAAAAGAAAGTAAGAAAGAAAAAAAATCGAGCGAGGAAACGGGAGATCCGACCACAAAACAAAAAATCTTTCCTTCATCCCTCCTCATCCGATACCTAAAATGGTCGAAAGAGGGCAACGTACCAAAAAGCTATTGGGTCTTTTATAGGCCTTGGCGGGGAATGTGCCCGCTGCCAGGAACATATGGTTCCTGGCTACGTCACTCCTCTCGACATCCCGCGCACTCCTTCACCGTGGTTCCGACAGCTCCGCATCGGAAACAAAAACCGGTGGCTCGCGGACGTGGGCATTCGGTGTAGCGGTGCCCCCTATCGCCACAATTCCAGCATCCCGCTGGACGCACCGCTGGACCTGCGCTACGGCCCTCCCCCGACGTTCGATGGGTCTCGGAGCAATCCCGACTGCGGTGGCCACTCTCCCCGCGCGGCTCGGGCCGCGCCGCCCGATAGCAGTCGCCACTCCGAGCCCGGGACTCCGGCGGGCTATTCGCTCGGCAGGCCTCCCTCTCACGCCGCACGGCCAAGCCATCTAACTCGGCCAGGGACGGGTAAACTCGTGGAGTCTGCGTCCCCTGGTCGACATTCTGGAGGAACCTTCGTTCCATTACCGCGATCGTCTGCGTTCCGGCGTCGTAAACGGGGGGAGTCCGACCGTCTGAGCGCCCATGTCGCGCATCGGCGGGAACTCCCGGACCACCGCACCTCTGGTGGTTTGGGTCTCCTCCAAATGAGTCCTCCGCGATCTCCGCCCAGAATCCGGGACGCTTCCGACGGATCTGTCGGAAGAGTTCCCGGTGGCGTAGCCGAAGCTCCTCCCACTTCTTGTGCGTCTGCGACATCCCCGCACATTTCGACACGGCTTCCCTTAACCTGCCCACGGGGAGAAGTGTTGATCACAAATAAAAAACTCTTCTCGATCTTTTTCCTTCTCCAACATCACTAATGCCCGACACCAAAACCGACAACACAAACACTGACCAATACCATATTCACCAAAAACCACCGCTGTTCACTTGGTTGGCTCGGACGACACGTACGGGTTTAGATCCTGTACGTGAATCTTGCCCGCCGAACTCCCGTCTAATCTCTCCCACTCATATAACACGGGAAGTCGTATTTTCGAGATCTTGAATGGGCCGTGAAATTTTGGGACGAGTTTCGCCGCGATATTCTGGGCGGCCGACGATAGCACGTGTTGTCTCTTGAATACTAGATCTCCAACTCGAAGCGTTCGGGGTCGCCGTCGCAAATTATAATACTGGGCTTGGTGTTGATAAACCCGCTCTAAATTTTCGCGCACCCACTCGTGAATCGGTACATAACTCTTCATTCGCTTCAACCACTGCTCGGGATCGCCGGGCTCAACAGCGGTGTTCCTTTCGGCTCGTCGCCTCAGCGATTTTGCCGGTTCCAACTCGCGGCCGTGATTTATAAATGCCGGGGACGTGCCGAGAGACGAATGGTAGGCGGTATTGTACGCGAACCGGAAATCCGACAGCCGTGCGTCCCAATCCCGATAGTCACGATCGAGAAATGCAACGATCATCGTCTTCAGGATCAGATTCACTCGCTCTACCGGATTGGCCTGAGGATGATACGGCGGTACCGTCGAATGTTCTATATTATTCTTCTGGGCGAAAGCTGCGATAGTCTTATTTACGAACTCCGTACCGTTATCCGTGATGAGAACATGCGGAGTTCCCCACCGGGAAATCACCAAATCATCGAGAGCAGCCTCAATGAGCTTACCGTTCGCGGAGCGCAAGGCCCGGTACTCCACCCACTTAGACATTAAGTCCTGTATCATTTATAAATAGGAGTACCCGGCCCGGCTCTGCGGCAACGGGCCCATGATGTCGGCAGCTACGACGGACCACGGGGTCTTGACCGTTCGTTGTCCCATAAACCCGGCGGGAGCGCGTTGCTCGACTTTTGTCCTCTGACATCGGTCACACTTTCCCACATACTCCGCGACATCTCGAAATAATTTTGGCCAATAATATTTCACCGCGACCAGGTAATAAGTTTTTTCTATGCCCAAATGTCCGGCCTGGGCGAGATCATGCGCTTCCTCGACAACCTCGCGACGCAGCTCCCTCGGTAGCACCAATTTCCATCGATCTAAATCGTCTACGAACTCGGATACAATCTTCCTCGGTCTTAAAAAATATAAGTTCTTGTCCACGATTCTCCACGTTGGATATCGCTTCGGATCTTTCGCAACATCCTCGGAACGTCGGAGATACCAACGGTCTTCCGTTTTTCCCGACAACAAATCCGTGACGGCAGCCGCGAGTAGAATTTCAGTTTCTCTATTCGTAAACATGCGTGACAACGCATCGGGAACGTGATGTAGCGCGCCTTTTCGATGTACGACCTCGTAATCGTATTCTAATAGTTCTAAAGCCCATCGAGCCAGTTTACCGGTGGGATTACTCAAATTATGCAGCCAGCGTAAGCTGCAATGTTCGGTAATCACCGTAAACCGATATCCTAAATACGGCCGAAACTTTTTAATTGCCCACACGACAGCTAAACATTTTTGTTCCGTGGTGCTGTATTTACGCTCCGTGTCCTCGAGAACTCTACTCGCGTAGGCTATCACTCGCTCGACGCCTGTGATATTCTGTGTCAACATGGCTCCCAAGCCCACCGTGCTCGCGTCCGTTTGCAACACAAAGGGGGTCTCGAAATTCGGATACGACATCACCGGGGTATCCGCTAAATTTTCTCTAATTATGGCAAAAGTGGCCTTCTGCTCGTCACCTCTAATCCATTTTGCTGTTTTCTGAGAAGTCTTGCTAACGGCTCGCTCACGGTAGCATACTGTGGCAGAAATCGGCGATACTACGACGCCATTCCCAAAAACCGTCGTAATTGCTTAATATTATGCGGCGTTGGATACTCGAGAATGGGTTTTACCTTCTCGACATCGACCTTGAGTCCCTCGCTATTCACCAAAAAACCGAGGTATCGAACCTCGGGGCAGCAAAATTCGCATTTATTCGGGTTAATCGCGAGTCCGGCGACTCGGATCTTCTTAAGAACGAGCGACAGCCAGTTGAGATGCTCGTCGAACGTCGCGGTAACAATCACGATATCGTCTAGATAAGCGAAAACGTGCGGTTCCATCTCGGGCCCAATTAATTTATCCAACAGCCGTTAGAAAGTGGCTTGCGTGCCCGTTAACCTGTAGGGCATGCGCGTAAAATGCCGCAAAATCGATGGTTATCCCGAATAAACACAAAAAATCGATTCCTAGTATTGCGGGCACGGCAAGACTCGGGAGCAACTACGCTTGCAAATTTCTCGCTACTCTCTGGAGCTCAACATCGACAGCTACGCGTTCGTTTATTTCGGTGACCTTCCCGTCGGCCAGCCGAAGTCGAGAGATTTCGCCTCTTATCACCGATAATCCCAGCGCCCGAATAATTTCCCAGCCTTCTCGGCCCAATATTGTCCGGTTCGAACCCGTACCTACTAAGTCGAGAAGCGAGAATTTGCCGATATTTATTTTCAAATACGACAGCGGCACGCTGGGATCCCCGTCGTATGCACCGTGCGACGCGACTTCACGCTCCCCGCACGATTCGTGGGCCTTCGGGACAGAAGGAGCCGCAGCGACCCGCTTTACGGTCTCCGTCGCCCGTTTCCCGTGCACGAGGGACACGTACGCACCGTAAAATCTTTTCGACCACATCGATAACAATGGATCTTTGGCGGCTTTCTACACTCTCTTGCGAAATGTCCTTGGCTGTCGCAATTCCATCATTTAGCGACAGTCGCGCTTCCCGACGGCCCCGCCGTCGCAGCAGCGCTCGACCGATCCGGCTTTGGAACTTTCGGTATGTTCCGTTTCTCCGCCTCGCGCCCTCGCGCGGGGGAAACGTTCTCCGGCGGAGAGGCCGGAACGGTAGGACGCGTCTCCGCTTCCCCCCGAGCGGCCGGTTCTTTCCGCGGCGACAGCTCCGATAGCCCCATGGCCGCAGAAAATCCCGTCGATCTTGAGGATTTTCCCGGCGGACGATACGCCACATCGGGACATACGGAATGTTCTGGAGCGGGGGAAGCACGATATTGGCTAGCCGCAACATAACTTCGCTCCACCCGCATGGCCAAGAGCTCCAAGGAGTCAAAATCGAGAAATTCGTCGCGGTGTGTCGCGATCTGTAGACGCGGCAACATGTTGCGATGAGCGTAATTTAATTGTTCGGTGATGGACCATGGCGGATTTAATCTCCCGAACAGCGCTAACGAACAGGTTAAATAATCGGTCACGGACTCGTGTTCTCCCTGCGTACGGCGCATATTTTCATCGCGCAGGGCGAATTGGAAGTCTGGATCGCCGAAACGTGCGCGCCACGCGTCCTCGAATTCACCCCACGACAGCCACTGGGACCGCTTTGCACGATACCAGTGCAAGGCGATCCCGGACAAAATGAATAGTAGGCATTTGAACAAGTCACCGTCCGTCATCGGAACCAATTCTCGACCCTCCGCAATCCGAATCAGGAAAGCCTCTGCGTCGCTACCCCGTGCCCCAGAGAAACTCAAATTCCACCGGCGCATCACATTATAAACTTCGCTCGCCGGCAGCGTAGCGCGGCTCGGCGCGCGAGGCTCCGATATCCTTGGCGGCTGCATGTCGAAAGCAGCCCCTCCCGAAAGGTCCCGCCTTCTAACGACACCGGTGCGATCCTATCGCGGTATTTCCGGGAACCGCAACGTCCCCTCGGACGCTCGCTCGACAGCACAAGCTCTGCCCCCCCTCGATGCCGGAACTTAATATCTCGTCAGACTTTTTCGCGTCAGATGAGACCGCTTCTACCGCAGAGGTGGGAGGGGGTCGCTCTTCTCCCTCCGCCCTGCTCGCGCCTCTTGCTAATAGTGCAGCAGCCTCGCGCGAAGCTGCTGCACCGTGCCCTTGCCCTCCAACCCACGAACTTGTGCCTGTTGGTGCAACTGTTGGTCCAACGAAAGCTCACATAGCCACGCGTCTGGGCTAATAATCTCCGGCATTTCGGAACTCTCGTTGCTTCAACTTTATAAGGCGACAACCAAGCTCCTTTAAAGATCTCGCCGATTAGGCGGGAAGACACTCGAAGGCCACAATAGCCGTACGTGCTCGAGCCAAACAAAGCGCGCGGTTTCAGCGACTGGTACACGAGACGAGACAACACGAGGCAAGACAAAAATCGGTCACCAACAACAAAGAGAACAACACAACACGGTGCGTATCTCTCTCTCCGATAAACAATCTATCCGCAGACAACGGAGACCGTGAGAACCTTCTGCAAATTGCTCCACTGAGTCTGACTAACGGAAAGCAAAAAAACTGGCAACGAATCGATAACGATTAGTCACCCGATCACAAAGACTTCCCGTCTCCCGTCGATACGAACAAGGGCCCCACGTTGGGCGCCAAAATTTGCGACCGCTCCTAGCGACTAGGAAGCGGGCAATGTCGCGACGATTCGTCCGTGGCCCTCCACCTATGCACAAAAATTTTCACGAACCAATGTTGGGCGCCAGACACGAGTATCGTGCCCACCAAAACTAACTAGGCGGCGGCGAGTAGACACGATCGTCTATGAACTCGACAGCTCCTGCACTTTTAAGTCGGAGTTGGGCGTGGGTCTCTTGTGGGGATTAGGAGGGGAACCCGGCGGGTAATTAAATTAGTGACACGCCGATGTGGAACAAATAGTAATTCGAGTGTATTTTCGTTATTGTAATCGGTAATACAAATCTTTTGACTCCTGACGGAGAAGCGACAGCGATCTCGATAGGTCCGCGCGACCCGCGACCCGCGATTCCGATATCGATAAGCCCCCGCTCGTTGAGAGAGAGAGAAACGCTCTGCTCCCCGCGTTCCGCGGAAAGAACGACAGACGGCTTCGGTGACCGCTCTACAATCCAAACATTTCGCACCAAGTCCGACAGCCGCTGACTAGTCCCCCCGCGCAAACGGTTCGCACGAACAAACAGAGTCGTACAGAGTGACACTCTTACAATTTTCACCCGCTGGCGGCAGCCTCCTTCCTGACAGTCGCTCCTCCGCTCGCTCCTCTCCTCGCTTTCGACGCTTTCTCGATAGCTCTCTCCCCCTCTCTCTCTGCCTGCCTCGCTCGCTCTCGCGACCTCTCTCCAGGATCCGCACTCGCACGATGCACTGCACGCCCGTGCACCCACGACACCAAACCAAAATACGGTAGCTCCCTAGAAGCTCGCGAGGTCGACAACAATTTTGAGTTCGCTCTCTGTTCGCATCTTCGCCAGAAGTACTCCTCGTTCGCCCCGGCCGAAGATACGTGGCCCCGGTGGATCTTTCTTCGCTCCAATTTTTTTCTCCTTGATCACGCGATGGCGAGATGTTGCTTAGAATCCTTCTTTCTTTTTCCGAGCACCTTCTGCGTGATCGAAGTTACTCGCTATCAAATGTCGTGCCGCGGTTTGTTTTGTAGGCTACGACAATACACAAAAATACAGAGACAGCGGTGCGACATCAACGGTACAATTGTTCGGAAACAAAATTAGAAGCGGCCAATGACATCACCTGCGATCTCTCAGTGCTCGCGGCAGCTCCTCGAAGCCTTACTCCTTTCCCTTCGATCTCCCTTCTCTGGTCCGCCGCTCCTGCTGGTCGGAGGCTACCCGCAGCGAAAGGGCACACACGTCTAGGGGCGCGGGAGTATCACCAAAAAACAACAATCTCGCACTCGTCGGTACGAGATCGCTCGCCACCAAAATATATCCGCGATGTCTCCTCGAAATTACGCAGCTCGCCTCGCG